TGATTTGTGCTTGATTCTGAGCATACAAAACTGAATAAAATTTGGCCCTTGAGGAGCAACCACCAGAACTTACTCTTGTCTTAACATGGACTGATTCTATCTCACTTCAACCTTCACCCCTAAGCTGATGACTATTAAACATCCATCTACATCTTGCTCTTAGGAATTCTAGCCCCTTCTCAGATTCCTACAGAACCAGCACTGGTAAGTACAGTCATGATTTAATATCCTTGGCTTATATTATTGGACATTAGGCTGGTTCCAATATTTGCTATTACAAACATAGCTTCAGAGAATAACTTGGAAACACATCCTTTTATACAATACAAGTAAATACGTACACTAAATTCCTAGACACAGAATTGCTGAATGATGTTAGGAGAACTGTACTCCTACCAGGCCTTGCTGATGCCATCTTCCAAGCCAGTTTCCATTCCATCCCACTCACCTCTGTAAGTTGCAGATGTGATCAAGTTGTTCCCCTGCGTGACATCCACAGTGATTCCCCATTGCCCCAGACCCTCAGGGGCCCTGAGGTTCCTCCTTTCCAGGAACATCACTCATCCCTACCCCATGTATCCCTCCAGCCACGAGGAACTGCAGTGTCCTCACTGTGGGCCCTGGGCCCACACTCCATTCTCTCTGCTGTCACTCTTCTCCCTCCTTTCCTCTGACAACACCACATTTTCAACAGTTTCCTGTAGATCTTCCAACTACCCTACTCACTGCACCTGTTGTTTCCGCAGTTAACATCCTAATTTTATTCTGACTTCTACCAAAAGTACCCCACAACCTCACTAGATGGCATCATTGTATGCCTAGTGCCTAGCAGTGGTAGGTACTGCACTCAGGTTTTGAAGGGATGAATTTCATAGAACATTCCAGTGGAGGACACAGTCACATTTTACCACCTCCAGGGCTTTTCTTCCAGACAGGTCTCCCTCCCTAGCTCCTATCCTTATTAAAGCTCTTGGTTTATTAATTTTATTTAAAATACCAATTGATTATATCATTTCTGTATTCCAAAATGGCCAAAGGCTCCCCAGAGCCAGCAAAAGATTTGCATTTCACTCTCAAATTAGAGATCTAGACCAGGGATGAGGGCACAAGAGTGGAAGTAGAAGAATTAGGAGGCTTCTTTTTAAAGTAAAATTCACCCCTTTTAGTTGTATTGTTCTATGTATTTGACAAATATATACCATCCTATAACCATATACCACCACAATCAATTGTATATTTCTTTCTTTTTTGGGAGCGGGATTGAACTCAGGGGCACTCTACCACTGAACCACATCCCCAGCCCTATTTTGTATTTTTATTTAGAGACAGAGTCTCACTGAGTTGTTTAGTGCCTTGCTTTTGCTGAGGCTGGTTTTGCACTTGCAGTTCTCCTGTCTTAGCCTCCCCAGCTGCTGGGATTACAGGCATGCGCCTCTGCCCCTGACTTCAATTGTATATTTCTATCCCACCAAAAAATTCACTTGCACTGCTCCTTTGTAATCTTCTCTTACTTCCAGATCTTGGCAACTGCTTTACTGATTCCCTTCACTATAGTTTTTTTTTTTTCCCAAAGTGTCTCTTCTTTCACTCAGCATAAGGTTTTTGAGATTCATTCCTGTGTTGCATGTCTTAGTAATTTATTCCCCTGAGTAGTATTCCATTGTAGGAATGATTGACACTTCATCCGCTCACTAGTTGATGTGCGTTCAGGTTATTCCACATTTTTTATCATTATGAATGAAACCAATATATAATTACCTATATAAAGGTATTATGGAGACATGATTTTATTTCTCTTGGGTAAGATTGTGGGGCTTGTGATAAGTCTAACTATATAAAAAACTGCCAAACTTGTTGAAGGGTCTTAGACAAATCACTGAAAAAGAGCTGACACCATCTTGATCCTAGAATGAAACCTATATTAATGCAAAGGTGGGATAAGGAAAGTCCAGCTGGTAGAACCTAATAAACACCAATGAGGAGAAACTGCTGGAGCAGAGAGTGTTTGAGGGAAACTGGTAAAATGGAGACAGCACTGTCCTGGGGACTGGGACACATTCAACAAACTTGTGCTTCACTGTTTGCCCAACAGCCTTGGAAACATTGTCTTCTGTTCCAGGCTATGGAATTTTTCTCCCTAAGCCATCTGCACAACCAGTGATTAGATGTTTATGTTTTACATACTCAAAAGTAACCACTTAATAAAATCATTAGGTTGGGAGGGAATGTAAAATTCAAACAAAAACAAATGTTCTGAACCATATTTAAAATTAATCATATACACAGAAAAGGGGAAATAACTACCCCCAAATAATTTAGACTATTTAGAATATATGCCCTCAGGCTCAAGACAAAAGGAATTTGAAATATATATTGAATTTTAATTAGTAGGCTTCTTAGGGCATAGACATGGGTTAGAAATTCTGAAACAACATTCAGTACATTCTAGGATGGAGGAAATAATATATTGCAACTAATGGGTTTGGGTTTCTCAACTGTTGAATTAACAATATCAAAAAGTGGAGGAGACCTCTGGAAAATCTTCTGTTATCTTGCAACACTTTTCTAAGTCTGAAATTATGTGTGTTGGAGGAAGAGTGGCTATATCAGTGCTTCTTAACTGCCTTATCTTAAAATCACCTGGGGCTTTTACTGAAACATTCCAAACTCCAGGACCCCTTCCTTGGATATTATGTGTCAGTATGTTCAGACCTTGCTATGCATTTTACAACACAGAAAATTTTAGACAGGCTGAACTGAATGATCTTTGAGTTTCTTTTATGTTCTACAGAAAGCAAAAGTTGAGCCAGTAGTAGAAACCAGTTGCTTGACATGAAGACAACAGAAGTGACAATTGTCTAGCCCTAGATACATTTATTACTGAGTTGAAGCATTCCATTCAGTACAAAGAGCCATAGGAAGCCCCTTGGGCAACCTCTCAGGAAGAAAATTCAGAGAAATTTCAGAATTCTTCAAGACTCAGGTCATCCAAATGTCTTCCGGAGTTAAACATTTCAGAAACAACTGGCCCAGATTTCTATCCTTCCAGTGAGAAAATCACCTGTTGGCCTCCGGGCCTTGTTACTTAACTGCTGTTTCTGCTTGAAGAGGGCCCCCACTACCACACTAACCAGCCTGGCTCCTTCTGCCCCTGGAGCTCTCCTCAGATATCAATTTATCAAAGTGGCCATCCAATTCACCTGCCACTGCTCCAGGCTTATTTCCTTTTTTTTTTTTTGTAGTAATATGGGGATTGAACCCAGACGTGTTGTAACATTGAGCTACATTCCCCGCCCCTTTTAAATTTTGAGACCTTTTTTATTTTGAGACCTCTTTTAAAGAGACAAGTTCTAAGTTGCTGAGACTGGCCTTGAACTTGCAATCCTCCTGCCACAGCCTCCCAAGTAGCTGCTATTCCAGTCCCCTCAACTCAGGCTAATTCTCTTTACAGAATTTAACCATTTATCTGACTGCCTCACCAGAATGCTGGTTCCACAAGGGAACTAGCATTCTGGCATAGACATAGTTAGTAATTCTGAAACAACATTCAGTACATTCTAGGATCGAGGAAATAATATATTTGCAACTAATGGGTTTGGGTTTCTCAACTGTTGAAAGAGTTAATATCAAAAGGTGGAAGAGTGAAAGGTACCTGGGAAATCTTCTATTGTCTGAAATTATGTGTGTTGGGGGAAGAGTGGCTATATAATATAAATTATATACAGAAAAGGGGAAATAACTACCCCAAATAATTTTGGGTTTTATTCACGTCTGTCTCCTCAGTTCCTAGGACAGTATTGTACTATACGTACCAAGCCCTATTTAGTTGGATGATTTATCAATGTACACATGTATAGGAATCTATTTCTTGTGATGAATGTATTTTCAGTGCAGCAGGTGAAACATAACCAAATCAAATGGAAAACAGACAACTTTATGATATTAAATATATTCTTTTAATTTTTCTCACACACAGTTCAAGAAAACCAGACAGCATAAGTTGGGGGGAACATGTCCAAGTCAGGAAATGGGTGTTTGCTGTGATGGACAGTGGGCTAGAAAATCAGGGGCTGGCATTCAACTAAAATGCGATAAAGTATTATTATAGAGGGTGGTAATAGGTGTTTCATTTACAAGGAATTCACACAAAGGGGTTCCTGAGTGTACCCGACAGTACCATTCTGCTCCACCCCACGTTCCTCAGAGCCTCGCAGGTGAGCAGAGTTCTGCAGTAAAGCTGATTCTCCTACATATTCTACCAACCATCACAAACTCATTCTTCAAAAGAAGATGGAGAGTTATTGTCTAAAAACTGAGTAACGGAAAATGAAACCCTTCAAGGAGTGAAGGAAGGTAAAGTGGACTATGTGACTTATTTCAATAACATCCAGGCTCCATCACAAAAGCAATGTCTGGAAAATCCTAGGAGAAAGAGGTGCATCCCATTAGGAGTGTGCCTCCTCCGACGATCACCTGAGTCATTATGTAGTGAATAGCTGTTACCAATGGGAGTATGTGACATATTGCAAGTGTATTGAGACATTTTTAAAAATTAAGAACTGCTGCATTAAAAGACATCTTGTCAGTGAAGTCTTCAATTGACTCCCTGTCAATATTTTTCACTCTGGGATGGCTTGGGTAAAACTTTGCCCATGTTAGTCATCTAATGTCTATTACTTTATGATGACAACCTATGTGAACAAAATGTGTTCACTTTAGAATCTTCTCAAATCAGTGTGGTACTGAGAAACTGTTATGAAATTGTAATTGATAGCACTGTTCAAAAGTATACAATAGGACGACTAACCAAACTCGATCTTGCTCTGTTGATTTAATATTTTCATTTCCATCACCATACATGATGAGAAAGCAACACCAGCAAAGATTAAGAATCTAAAAATCCTTCATGCTGATCACCCACAATCTTCCAACTATTTCTAAGCTTAACCAGAGAACATTATTTATTACTTATAAATAAGAGAATTTAAAATATTGTTGTCTCTGACAATACTAAAAAAGCATATTTAAACTTTTTTTCACTATAAAATTGAAGCTGCAGTAAGATGAAATGGAAGCCCACAGACACTGCTGATGTGAATTCCACTAATAATATCAGATTCTTGCCAAAAAGCAAAATTTGTTGTGTAGTTTGCAATTAATGTAACAAAAATTTACCAGCCTGTATAATTTTATCTGCCTTCCCTAGAGGAAGTAAACTGATAATAAAACTAATGAAATCATATTTCTTGACCACTTTCATCCACTATAAGTTGTTACTTGTCCTTAGAGGATTAGACTATTTACAAGGCCATTGAAGTGTCTGGACTAGCTAATGGTAAAGGCAGTATTATAAGATATGGGGGTATTCCTGAGTCAGCAAAGATGATCCTGCATTGTGATGGAAGCCCCATAAGTCATTACCAAGGGCAGATCAGGGGTTGATGAGCCTCTGTTAGAATTGTTTTGCATCAGCATTTCTGTACTCCCTGAAAACACCATAAAATACTGAACTTTAATTAGTAATTCAACAAATGAGAAAATGCTTGATTTCAGTACTGTCAACCTAAATAACAGAAATGCTCCAAAGATAATGAATTTATTCAGGAATGGGCACTACAATGGGAATACTCATGTCATTGATTACTTGTGTATTCAAGGAGGTTGAGGCAAAGGTACATTTTTAAAGGCAAAATGAGGATTATATAAGTTGTTTTTGCAATAATAATCCTTGAGTACAAGGATCAATAATATGAGTAGCCATTAGTCCAAGGCTGAACGGGTATTAGTCAGAGGTCCTTGCAGAAGTGTTTTCTGTGTAAGGCTATAGTGTTTGTGCAAAGCTGTGGTTTTGGCAGAGTTTTTAGTGATAGTTTTTGTTGTCAGGATTCATGCATGAGATCCCCTTCTTCATCACCTCCCAGCTTTACTAATCGTTGTTGTTGTTATTTTTATCTAAGGTTTGACCCACAAGACTCTGACAACTTTCATAGTATTCAGAGTAGAAAACTCTGGAAAATGGGGGATATGATGTTAGGCAGTGAGTTGCTAAAACTTCTGGACAGGTGATGCCAGCTTGCTTCAAGCTTGTCTCCTGGCCTTCCTGCACAAGAACCACCTGGGGGACTTGTGGTGCCCTATAGATTTCCTCTACAAAACCTACATTTACTTAGTAAAGCAGAATCCTGTTGTTCACATCAGGAATCTGTATTTGTCACAAGCTTCCCTGGGGTTTCAGACTCATGGAAGCTTGAGGATATGACATTTGACCATCTTGTTGGCAAGGTCTACATATGAATAATATATTTGGCAGCATATTTGAAATGTTGTAAAAAAATATCAAATGTATGATATCTCTAAACATAGCACTTCTGTTGCTTTCAAAGTTAACAGATGAATACAACCAATTGGAATTAGCTCACCCAGTTCCATAGTTTAATACTTCTTACCTGTACTGCATAATACTTTGCAGCTCAAAATGGCAACAAGAGGGCAGAACATAACAGAACACCTGACATCCCACTATAGGCTGTGGAGTTAAAAAAAAAAACCCTATATTCTCCAAATCAAAATGACATGGGAACTTATGTAGGCCATGACTTGCTGCCCGCTTCCGGTCTTGGGGCCAAACACGTGCCCGGGATGGCTCCTGGCAATCAGCCAGGAGGGGTGCTGTGGCTGGTGACGGAAAAGGCGGACCACCTCCAGGATAGGTCCAGGACTCTTCTGCCCTCCTGGACAGCTTCTGCCTTCCCTTAGGGACTATGGGATGGGTGTACACAACTCACTCCACCCCTCTGACCTTTATCCTGATTGGCTCCTGTGCAGTATATAAGAGTGTGTACTTCCTCAATAAACGAGATCCGGCTTCCACTAGTCTCCCTGGCACATCTGATTGTCCTCCATCTAGGGAGGGCTGGGTGCGGACCACCAGGGTTGGGTGCTGGCCACCAGTCGACCTTTCGGGGCGTGCGTGCTTTCCCTTGCTTCTCCCGCTGGTCAGGAGGAGATGGGGGCTAAAACCCCCCACAAACTTGCACCTTGAAAACAGAATGGACTTGTGGGAAAAGGACTTTACAGTTTATTCCCTTCTCATTCTGGAATGTTTACCCTGCCCCCAGGGGGTCCCAAAGATCCAACTTCCTGTTTCTCAGGTCCTCCTAAAGATCTTTCCTGCTCATTCTTTCGCAGTTGACAAGCTACTACTAGGCTCTTGGAAGAAGCTTTGCTACATGAATTTCATCAAATGAAGCCATTTATAAAGGTTCCATTTTTAAAAAACTACAAGGCCAGTATGCTTAATTCAGTCATTTAAGTTGAATTGAAAACTTTGTTTTAAACACACTTAAAACTTAATGAGATATCAACTTGCTTGACTGAGTTCATGTTTCCCTTTTAAAAATCATACATTACAGAATCAGTGCACATTTGGAGTAATGTCTCCATTTAAGTGCCTTTTTGATATAAACCTACTAAAAATGCCAAGACACCAATCATTATAACTGTTTTTGGACATCATAAGCCAGCACCATGCCACTGGCTTATGGTAGTTGGGGTGTTACAGCTTAATGTTGACATCTGGCACAAAAAGCTTACAGTCTGAATCATGTTTCTTTTTTATGTAATTCTGGCTCAGGAATCCGATACAGAGCAGCAGAGAAATAAATTATGTTGCTGAGGCTGAAGATGAGGCACAGCATTACGGCTACAGCTATCTGAGAAAAAGAGAAGGGCCTGAAGGCGGTCATGAGCCACTCCTTCCTTAGAGTCTTGTCCAGAAGTATGGCTTCCATCTGCAGGTGTGTGGCCAGAATCACGCACACGTGAAACAGCTGGTGGCTGTGACCTACAGCAAACACACAAAAGGCCATTGAGATCACTGATCAAAAGGAAGGAGTATTGACACAAACTATGACATGTTTGCTAAAAAGATGCTAAGTGAAAGAAGCCAGCAAGGGCACATTATAGGATCCCATTTGCATGAAATATTCAGAGTAGGCAAATTCACAGAGACAGGGGAGATTCATGGTTGCCTTGAGCAAAGGGTGGGAATTGGTATTCACAGTGCATGTTCTAAAATGGATTTATGGTGATGTTCAGGCAACTTGGAAAATTTACACAATATAACATTGAATTGTACAGTTGACTTTGGGAGACTCTTTAATATATAAAGTACACCTTAATAAAAGTATTTTAAAGAACAATTTGAGGGGGCTGAATGCATAGCTCAGTGGTAGAGTTTGTGCTTAATTCACACATGGGCCCTGGGTTCAATTGCCAGCAATCTGAGAAAAATATGAAGACCATCAGAGCAAAATCCTTTTTCAGAACAACTTATTTACCACATTCATTTTCCAGATGAAAAAGGAGAAAGTTAGGCTGCATGTTTTTCTTGGACTGCTTACCCAGTGCTCTTCTCCCTCCTGCTGGTTAATCAGGAGCTCTTGTTCCCTGAAGACAGGCTGCACCCAGCTCACATATCTCATCAAAAGAGGGTGGAGCCCAGCAGAGGTGCTGGGAGTGAGCTGGGCCATGTGGTGAGTGGTGAGAAAAGGAGTCCAATGCCCAGGGTCAGAGAGTACTTTGGGTATGGGCCTCAGACACCAGGAGTGGGAGAAGAAGACCATACATGTTATGGTTTGAATATGTTGTGCCCTGAGAAATCCATATACTGATATCCTCAGAATGTGAGCATATGAGGGGAGATAGGGTCTTTAGAGAATTAAGTGACAGGTCAGTAGGGTGGCCCCTAATCCAGTGACCAATGTCCTTATAAAAATGGAGATTAGAACATAGACATGCACCTACACATAGAAGAAGATCACATGAAAACAGGTGGAAAAAATGGTCCACCCCAAACTAAAGAGAGAAAGCGAGGTCTCCGAAGAAACCAATCCTACCCACACCTGGATCTCAGACTTCCAGCCTCCAGACTGTGAGAAAATAACTTTGCGTTGTTCAGGCCATCCAGTCTGGGGTACTTGTATAGCAGCCTTAGCAACCTTATACAACATGAGAGTTCAAAAATGATCCTCCAATTAAAAAGAAAAAAGTCCCATATTGTACCCTCAGTACCTATCCCAGAAAAAATATTCAATAAACAAGTTAGAGATATAAGCTCAGGAGGGTTGAAGATTTGCAAGCAGTTGTCTACTGAATTCTTTAAAGCCCCAGTCTCATTCCCAAAAAAGAAGGTGTCGAGAGGTGCCACCCTGGCCTCACTCAAGCTGAACACATTGGCTATGTATGATTCCAATTAGTGTGTGACACAGCAAAGCAGCTTGGGGGTGATGCTCCCCAAGGACATGGCCAAGCAGAGAGCAGTGACTCACTGTGTTCACCAGTTAAGGCTCACACATGTCTCCATGAGGCCCCAAGAGAAAAGACAGAGCCACCAGCATTAGGTGTACCCAAAATTTGACAGCAGCAAGGAAAAGTGACTTCAACAGTCCTGCCTACCAGGAATTGGGGGGGGGGGCTTCCTGCAGTCATGGCTAATCAGGCCAGGCCAGCAAGTCCCATACAGGTTGGGCTCAGGGTGCTAAAAGAGAGGGATTTCCGTCCCAGCAGAGTCAGTTACTTAAGGACTGAACGGAACATACCTATCATAAAGTGGTGTGCTGGCAAGTTTCTCCCTCAGGGGAGATTTTCTGCTCTATTCTCTTAGACCAGGGGAACAGGATAGAGGTGAATTAATAGAATTCTGAGAAGCAAAATAATGCCCCTCACTATTTTTCCTGCAGTCCCCAAGACTTCATCCATACCACCTCTACTTCCTTAAAGTGGGTCTGGAAGTAGCCATGGTATGCAGGGGCCAGTTGCCACCTGTTTCCTGGCCTCTGATCCTCCTCTCTTTTGAAAATCTGACCTCTAAGCATTTTGCTAGTTCCTACCCCTTCTGGCAGAACAGAAGAAGAGGATGGAGTTTTGTCAGATCAAACAGAGCATACCTGGTCACATCACTTAGGTGGGAGGAGGTAGAAATTCAACCAGAGACCGAACGGGCTTGGAGAAAACTAAGGGTGTTTGCCATGTTGGTGACAAAGACTGGCTCTGTGGTTTCCATGGACCTTGTTTAAGGAACTTTCATCCCAAAGGCTTGTTACCTTCACCAGAAGTTTCCCAAGGGTGACGTCCACTCAGCCAGCCTCAAAGCCAGGATGGGACATGAATTGCAGATCTGCATCTTGCCTTCTCAAGGCCATCTTTCTTATTCCTCTCCACAGCTGCCCCCAATGTTCATTTAATGATGGGAACCTAAGGTTCTTCCTCCTAAGGCTTCAGGTCTAGACCCTCCTGCTCTCCATCCTCCCTGCTCCTACCCAGCAAAGCACGGTGTCACATATGCTGGCCTCTGTCACCTTGCAGTGGCATTCACTTTGGCCTGAGCTTCCTCAAGATTTGCTTCTCTCCCTGCCCTTGCCTGTCCACCCTGCCCCCATGGGCCTTTGCAGCCACTACACTGGTGTCAGATAGGTCTCTTCCCTGGCCAGGAGATCAACAAGAATAAATAATAACAGGGCTACAGTGCCCACTCACCAATGTAGTCAAAGCATCCAGGGGCCAGGCACTCCGGCAGGTGTGCAGAATACAAGACTGAGGCCAGGAGGGTCATGACAACGTGCTTCTGGTGGTACAAGGTGGCTTCATTTTCAATGTCCTCGTCTGGGAACAGGAAGAGCTGCAGGTGTTTTAAGAAAACAGCAGGTCTTTAGAGGAGGACAGGCCTCCGACAGGCCCTGGTCCTTCTCAGGACCTGGGGTGGAGGCCCACATACCTCAGCACCATGCAGGAACTCCACCCACCAGGCCTCCCACAGGTCCATGGCCTGGAGGAGGGACTCTCAGGGGCTGTGAGGGCAGAGCTCAGTATTACTGAGTAGGATCAAGTCAGACCCAAGACAACTGTATTTTAACCCCCATCAAACGCTCATGAGAGACCATTGGGGTTATTCAATTACACACACACACACACACAATTAGGAAAGAAAATTAGGAACAAGGAAAGTAAGAGAAAAGAAAAATCTTATTAGATATTTTGCTACTCTTTCTTGGGGTGAAATATAAGTATAAAAGTGGTCTGTGGACATATGAACTCTCTTCAGCCCACACAGCCCTGGAACTGATGGTCCTGATTAAGACTTTAAGGCCTGGAGGCCTCTGAATCATTAAAGAGTATTAAGTACACCATTTCATGGTTTGAGTGTAGTTTTTGTGTTATTATGTAAATAGTAACAGTAGCTACCACTTATTATGCCTTTTACATGCATCATTTAATACAAGTCTCAACAATTACCATAAAGCAGACTCCATTTTGCAGAAAAGAAATGTGGGCCAGGGAGGGATTCACAAACCTCTAATAAGTAGCAAAGTCAGGATCAGAATCCCAGCAGGCTGGTTCCAGGACCAATGGCACCATTTAGAATTAGACACCACCCCTCTCCCGCTGCCCCACTGTCGGATGCACCAAGAGCTAGAAGCGCACAGCACTGGTGACAGTGCCGAGCCTGTGGCACACTATACTGACTTTAAGAGTGGGTCTGCACACTTCCTTAAAGAAGGAACAAAAAGAAGGGGCTGTACCCCATCTCTAGGTCTCCCCCCGACCGTATAGGGGGAGCACAGAACAAGCACTCGATGCCCGAGCTGGCAGGTGGAGCTTTCCACTCCCCTTCCCAGCTGGGCCTTATCATGGCACCCAGACGCTGGCTCTGGGAGAGACCCCCTCCGTATGGGCTGTGTGGATTGCTGAGCCCACTGGATCCACTGTGTGGATTGATCCTCATTACCTCCTAGGAAGGAGAAATGTTAGTCTCACTTCCAGATGAAGAGCCTCAGGTTCAGAGGGTTCTGTTCACTGCCCAAGATCACACAGCCAGGGAGCAGTGGGACCAGAAGTTGAACTCAGGCCTACTTAATTTGAGAGTACATGGACTTTCCCCTTCTTATCCTACCTAAACCCTCCTCTCCTCTGTGTTCTCTGCTTAATTCCCATCTTCCTTGAAGACCTTCATTCATACCTTTTCCTTCAATTCTAAATGAGCATACATTAATCAGTGATAAGATACAATAATGCCTTTATTGGACTCCTGCCATCAGTCAGCACTACACATGTCAACTCACATAATCCTCCTCACACCCCACAGTGGTGTTAATATCTGCCCTTTTTATAGATAAAGGACATCAAGGAGCGGAGAACTTGCCCAAGGACTGGCAGCAAGGATTAGCGATTGGCCTCCAGAGCCCACCCTTGCTTACTCTACCAAACCCCAAGCTTCCTGTCCTGCCCAGCTCTGGGCCATTTCTCCTGAGCCCCCAGGTACATTGTCTCTCAGGGCCACCATGCTCATGCCATCTCTAATCTCTGCATATGCCATCAAGGCAGCGAGATCTTGCCTCCTGTGTGTCATATGGTGTCCAGTATGGAGTTTGAACCCCCAGAAGCTCAGGAAATGACTGCCTCCTAGGTGTGCCCACAGAACGGGATGCAGCTAGGCCCTTACCCTGTAGAAGATGGGCAGGGAGTCCCAGGTGTAAGGGTAAGCAAAGGCGAGGACTCGAAGCACCTTGCAGAGACGGGGCTTCTGGATTTCAAGAAACCTAAATTGGGAAAGGAAAGGGGGAAGAAATGGAAATGAAAAGTTTCAGGCAATCACATGTGTTCACACACATGTGCACACCGAACACACCGGAAAGGCTGGCAAGCAACAGAAGACGAGCAATTTGCACCTCCTCCTGTGGCCAGCCGCTTTCTCACCAGCCTCTTCCCTGGTGGAAATGACAGACCCTCAGATTGAAAAGGATGTCTGCAGAAACTTGTCCTGACACCATGAGAATCGGTGTGTCCAGACCAAGCCAGGGAGGAGACTCCTGGCAGAAACCTTACAAGTGCCAAGTTATTCAACTGCAAGGAGATTTCCAAAAGTCCAGTCACCTCCAGGACCAGGAAGGGGAGGCACTGCCATGGACCCTGTGAAGCATGCTCTATGGAGGTGAGAGGCACCTGACTCCTGGGAGCCTCCCAGCTGAGGACCATGAGGAAAACCTGACTTCAGGTTGGTAAGCTGGCAGGGTTTCCAGACTATGATACCACACCCAGCCGTGCTGGCCAGTTTGCTCCTTCTCTCCTTCATCTCCAGTCTCTCCAACCCAACCTGAACGCTAGCGACACTGGTTGTTGCAGAGAGGCAGGTCCCCCTGAGGAGACCATGATAGGGCCTCAGTGGGCCCAGGGAGGGACAGCAGCTAAAGGTGTGGGAACTGGCAGCACAGCTGGCAGGCTGGACACCAGGAGGACATCGATGGCCAAGGAGATTTCACACAAAACCTTAGCTTGGAACTGACGCCCTGGTAAGGAAGTGCTCATGTGTCCCTGCTGGACCACCAAGGCCAGGTGTCAGGGGCCAGTACCCATTTCAATACTGCAGTGTACTGCACAAGGCTGGATTTCTCCTCGGGGACCCATTCCCTGCAGTGGGGCTGAAGGCCCAGCAGGGTGGTGTGCAGAGATTTGGCATCAAGGCCCTCAGGAGGCAGTTCGGCTGCAGTCTGAAGAAACAGTGGAAGCACTGGGGCCCTCCCAGCCTTGGATCATCATGGGCTCTGCTGAGATGGGGCCTGTGCCCTACCACTATGCCCATCTCTGCTCCCCAACCCTCTGTCCCAACCCAGGATTTGCTAAAAATTAGGCTTGAAAGGTGTTAAGAATAGCAAAGCACACTTACTAAAATGCAGTAAATGTGTGTGGCTCTACCCCCACCCCCATCTCAGAGCCATGTTGGACCAGGCCTTTCTCCCTCACTATCTACTGCTCCTACTGAGCTGGGCCCACCTCCCCTGGACAGGCTGTTCATGTTACTTAAGAGCCAGCATGTACACCTGTGTGCATATCCCACTGCTGTCCATACCATCTGATAGACTCACATCTGACTGGGGGACCTTCTTCAAGGGCAGACACTGGATCTGGTCAGGTCGGGATTCCCCAAACCCAGCCCAGAACTGTGCTGAGGATCAATTTCTAGGCCAGTGTATTCTTCCCAGTCCTCAGGGAAGCCGGGCAAATTAGTCTTCATGAGGACCCCCTGCTTGAGGGTAGGAGGAGGACACCATAGGCCCTGTGGAGCCCATAGCTCCAGAGACAGCTTCACTCACTACCACAGGCAAGTATCTTCTTTCCTGTCTGTGCCCATAAAACAGGAAGCATGTGGTAGGTTCCAGGTACAGAAAAGGGAGACTTAGGGAGAAAGAAGAGAAGGAGCTGGAGGAGAAGTGCCCTTGATTCATCATCACCTTATCCAAGAACCACAGCCTTGGACAGCGCTGCAGGCATCTGGGGAAGGGAGGCTGCACAGAGCTGTGATCTCGCCCCTCAGGACCCTGTGACTATGACAGGTTTCCTGATCTTTGTGTGCCTCCAAGGCCTTGGGCGTAGTCTAGGGTCAATGACTTCCTCCCTCACAGTGTTAAGGATTTGCTAAAAATGAGGCTTGAAAGATGTTTAGAACAGCAAAGCACAGTTACTAAAATGCAATAAATGTGTGTGGCTCTACCCCCATCCCCATCTCAGAGCCATGTTGGACCAGCAAACAGGAACTGGAGGAAAGTCAGGCTGGGTGATCTGCGTAAAGTCAGATGAGCTAATAAGAGACAAAGCTAGGTTTAAACTAGGACTGTGGACCTCTCTGGTTTCACACTGCCCTCTGCCTGCCCCAGAAGGCCCAGCCTTTGCTCTTCCCAACAGCCTCTGCCCCAGAGGCCAAAAGGAGCACACTCAAACTGCCCTAATGGCCCGGGCACCTGCCCCTGCTGCCTTTTCAGTCTACCCTGGCTGTGCACTGCCACCACTTGCCAGCTCTGGGGAAGAGACTCGCCCTAAAGTGCATTCCTTGCAGCCACTTACGAAGAAATCTGGCTCTGGCTGGTGAGGGCCATCCCCCAAAGCATGGATTTCCTGTGACTTGAGACAACATTTCGCCTCCCCAGGGGCCAGGGGCATCGGACCAGCCTCTCCAGCCGCAAATCCGAGTCTATAGGAGGAAAAAAAAAAAAGGAGAAAAAAGCAGAACAGGAGAGAGAAGGCAACAGAGGAAAAAGCAGAAAAGCCAGTAGCCACAGAGGTGCCTCTCACTATCAAGATGCAATTCCACATCAAGCCACAAGGTGCCGCCACAGCCAGAGATTCCAGGAGTGAGTGCCAGGCATCCTGTGAGCAGCCACAGAACCCTCCAAAGCCTCCAAGCCCCACAAGTGTCCAAAGCCCACCCTGTGTAACTCCCTGCACCCGAGGGTCAAACAGACAGTTAGTAGGAATTCAGGAATACTCTTCCCACATGAGACCAGCAGGATATACTGGATTTGGGGAGAAGCCTGGCTTAAAGGGTTAGGTCAATAAGTGTGGTAATAAAGCTGTAAGGAATTCTGGAACTAGGGCCTGGAACTAATGGGGATTTATAAAAATCCCTCTATTGAAGAAGGGTGTGTGTGTGTGTGTGTGTGTGTGTGT